AATTTAAAAACAATCAATTTAAATATAAAACCAAGTAAAACCAATCAATATCAATAAAAACATATATCAATTTGAGTCTCCTAGTTAAAAGCGTTATCCAATAACATCGTCGAGCCATTTTTTTCTATGTCTGTTATATTGTGTCTGCAAACGCTTGCTCAAAGAGCCACGTCTTGATCTGTTTTCAAAATGTTAAAAAGGAAGGGGCCGATCTAATATCCCTAGGGAGGGTGTTCCATAGCTGAGGGGCCACCACTGTGAAGGCCCTGTCTCTCGTCCCTGCCAACCGTACTTGTGATGAAGGTGGGATTGAGAGCAGGGCCTCTCCAGACGATCTTAAAGTCCTGGAGGCTTCATAAGGGGAGATGCGTTCAGACAGGTAAGTTGGGCCAGAACTGTTTAGGGTTTTATAGGCTAAAGCCAGCACTTTGAATTGTGCCCGGTAGCAGACTGGCAGCCAGTGGAGCTGGCGCAACAGAGGAGTTGTGTACTCCCTGTGTGCTGCTCCCATTAGCAACATGGCTGACACTCGCTGGACCATCTGGAGCTTCCAGACAGTCTTCAAAGGCAACCCCATATGTTGAGAAACCCTGATAAGAGGAATCATAGACTGACTAGAACCTTCAGTTTGAAACTTATTCTGGATAAAATTTGTATGTTGTAGTTTTCCTCAGAAAAAAAAACTCTGTGTGAGAAGCAACATTTTATGTGTGGAAAATTCTGCAAAGTAGCTTTTGAAAAATGCTTGGTTTTAAAAAACATTCTCTCAGTTGGGGGGGGGGGGATACCTGAATTTAGTTGTTAATAAGATCAAGAAGAAACCTAGTGAAAACTTGTCAATAGCCCCTGATCACACCACAGTTCTGTTGCTTGAGCTTTGTGATGAGCCAAAATCTGCTTCAGTGTCAGATCTCCAACTCTTCTCCATCCCCCCTGTCCACTAATTTAAACACTTTAAAATATTTTCACCTAAACTTTGTGAAATGCTTTGAGAGATGTGATAGTGTGGGTAAAACCCCTGTGCCGCCAGGACTGAAGGACAGGTTATAGGTTCTAATCCAGGGAGAGGCGGATGAGCTCCCTCTATCAGCTCCAGCTCCTCATATGGGGACATGAGAGAAGCCTCCCACAAGGATAATAAAAACATCAAATCATCTGGGCGTCCTCTGGGCAACGTCCTTGCAGACAGCCAATTCTCCCACATCAGAAGCAACTTACAGTTTCTCAAGTCGCTCCTGACAAAAAAACCCCAAAAACCATTCCAGTTAATTGTCCCTTCACTGATAGTGCAAATGAAAAACGTAAAAAAATCAGTAAGATCAAGATTATGGCAACCAGAATGATTGATAACTGGCAATATTAGAGGTAAAGATGAAGTACTTTGTCCACATAATGAGAAGACAGGGAAGCTTGGAGAAGTCAATTATGCTGGGGAAAATGGAAAGAGAAAGGAAGAGGGGCAGGATGGATGGATGGAGGGATGGTATCCCTGAAGTGAATGGCTTGACTTCGAAGGAACTGGGGGTGGCCATGGCCAACAGGGAGCTCTGGTGTCGGTTGGTCCATGAGGTCACGAGGAGTCGGAAATGACTGAACGAATAAACACAGCTTTCTACAATTAAATCCTTATGAAGTATACATAGATTGTAGCATAACATTTGATGTTAAATTATCTGTCTATGTATATTCCAAGGCAAACATATAATGGAATATAGGTGGCTTGTACACATGCCTAAACTTTTACCAGCAGGATGAAGGCAGATGTTTCATGAGTTTTATCTGGCCTTGGTCAATATAACTAAATCTGACACTCAAGGGAAATAAATACAGATTTTGGCACTCTCTTCAAATTTATATGGGAATTCATTTTCCATTAAAAAGGAAAAAGAGTGGAAGGATCACCATCCCCCTCCTATCTCAATTTACCTTTAGGTATCAATGTATACCAATCAATGCAAGGGGGTGTGCTACGGAATTTGAAGTGGCACGAATAGAGGGCGAATGGGAGAAAAGTGCCAAGAGGAAGGCATGTCAAGCCAACCCTGACCAGGACCGCTTTCCACCTGGAAACTGATGTCATCACTGTGGGAGAACATGCAGATCGAGAATAGGATTCCACAGCCACCTACAAACCCACCGCCAAGACACTAGACTTAGAGAACGATCATCCTCAGGCTACAAGGGATCGCCTAAGTAAGTAAGAGGGTGTGATATGTTTTCATCAAGAAGGAAGAGGAAGATAGCAGGTTTTTAAATACCACCAGGAAATAGAAAAATTTACTAGTAATGTAAGAATTTTAAGAAAGAATTTTAAATCAATTAAATGTTGTCTTTTGGGCATCCAAATATATTTTCCTGTTGCTGGGAAGATGTTGTTGTTTAATCATTCAGTTGCTTCCGACTCTTCATGACCAGCCCACACCAGAGCTCCCTCTCGGCTGTGGCCATCCCCAGCTCCTACAAAGTCAAACCAGTCACTTCAAGGATATCATCCATCCATCTTGCCTGCTCCTCATCCTTTTTTCCATCTATTTTCCCCAGCATCAAACCCGCATTTTGGACTTTAGGAGAGCTGACTTCCGAAAAATGAAGGAAATATTGAGCAGCATTCCATTGATACAGAGACTAAAAGTCAAGGACTAAAAGGATGGACTGGAGTTTTTCAAGAGTGAAATACTCAAGGAACCATTGCAAACAGTGCCAACAAAGAGGAAAAAATAGGGCAAGTGCAAAGAAGCCAGAATGGATGTCCAAAGAACTTCTAACTGGACTAAGACTCAACAGATACATGCACAAGAAGTGGAAAAAGGGAGAAATCACCAAAGAAGAATACAAACAAATAGCCAACCCCTGTAGGAAAAAGGTTTGCAAGGCTAAAGCACAAAATGAGTTCATGCTTGCCAGAGAGATTAAAAACAATAAAAAGGGCTTCTTTGCTTACGTCATTAGAAAAAGGAAGAACAAGGAAGCGATAGGGCCTCTTCGAGGAGAAGATGGGACAATGCTGACAGGGGATAGGGAAAAGGCAGAACTACTTCTTTGCCTCAGTCTTTTCACAAAAAGAAAGGCATCCTCAACCTCAGCAAGACGGAGTGGATGAGGGATTAGAGAACTTCCAACCCCAAATTGGGGAACAAGTTGTCCAGGAATATCTGGTTGCTCTAAACGAGTTCAAGTTCCCAGGGCCAGATCAACTACACCCAATAGTATTGAAGGAACTAGCCGAAGTCATTTCAGAACCTCTGGCAATCATCTTTGAGAGTACTTGTGGAATGGGAGAAGTCCCAGCAGATTGGAGGAGGGCGAATGTGGTCCCTATCTTCTAGAAAAGAAAAAAGGATGGCCCAGCAATTACCGTCCGGTCAGTCTCACATCAATACCAGCCAAGATTCTGGAAAAGATCATTAAGGAAGTGTTCTGCAAATGCGGACATCGCTAATATTCAATACAACCTAGTCATGCCAGACTAATCTGATCTCTTTTTTCAATAGAGTTACAAGCTGGGAATGCCATGGATGTAGCATATCTGGATTTCAGTAAGGCTTTGACAAGGTCCCCCATGACCTTCTGGCAATCAGTTAGGTGGATCTGTAATTGGTTAAGCGAACGAACCCAGAGGGTGCTCACCAATGCTTCCTCTTCATCCAGGAAAGAAGTGACAAGTGGACTGCCGCAGGGTTCCGTCCTGGGCCCGGTCCTGTTCAACATCTTTATTAAGGACTTAGATGAAGGGTTAGAAGGCATGATCATCAAGTTTGCAGACAACACCAAATTGGGAGGGACAGCCAGTACTCCAGAAGACAGAAGCGGAATTCAAAACAGTCTTAACAGATTAGAGAGATGATTGGCCAAAAACTAACAAACTGAATTTCAATGGGGACAAATGCAAGATACTCCACTTTGGCAGAAAAAATGAAATGCAAAGATACAGAATGGGGGACACATGGCTCGAGAAAAAGATGTTGGAGTCCTCATGGACAACAAGTTAAACATGAGCCAACAATGTGATGCGGCAGCAAAAAAAGCCAATGGGATTTTAGCCTGCATCAATAAGAGTATAGTGTCTAGATCCAGGGAAGTCATGCTACCCCTCTATTCTGCCTTGGGCAGACCACACCTGGAATATTGTGTCCAAATCTGGGCACCACAATTGAAAGGAGATGCTGACAAGCTGGAATGTGTCCAGAGGAGGGCAACTAAAATGATCAAGGGTCTGGAGAACAAGCCCTATGAGGAGTGGCTTAAAGAGTTGGGCATGTTTAGCCTGAAGAAGAGAAGGGAGACAATATAGCCATGTATAAATATGTGAGAGGAAGTCATAGGGAGGAGGGAGCAAGCTTGTTTTCTGCTTCCCTGGAGACTAGGACTCGGACCAATGGTTTCAAACTATAAGAAAGGGGATTCTATCTGAACATGAGGAAGAACTTCCTGACTGTTAGAGCTGTTCAGCAGTGGAACTCTGCCCTGGAGTGTGGTGGAGGCTCCTTCTAGGGAGGCTTTTAAACAGAGGCTGGATGGCCATCTGTCGGGGGTGCTTTGAATGCGATTTTCCTGCTTCTTGGCAAGGGTTTGACTGGATGGCCCACAAGGTCTTTTCCAACTCTATGATTCTATGATTCTATTGTCTTCTCCAAGCTTTGCTGTCTTCTCATTATGTGGCCAAAGTACTTTATCTTTGCCTCTAATATTCTTCTCTCCAGTGAGCAGTCAAGCTTTATTTCCTGGGGTACGGACTGGTTTGATCTTCTTGTGGTCCAAGGCACTCTCAGAATTTTCCTCCGGGAAATCTCCAGCAAACATCTCCAGGGAAGATCACTGCATTGAATCATTGGGGACTAACAATGCAAGTGAAGAGGCATGCATTTATGGGCATTTCCAGGTATGAAGTGTCTTTTCCTCCTTTGAAAAAAATGATGAAATTGTGACTTTCATCTGAATAACAAAAGATAGAATGTAACAGCAACAACAGGAAATAATTTACTTTAGATTGACAGGAAGAATTCCTGAGCAAGTTTATTCTTGCAACATAGCAAGGCATCTCTAGATAGTATTCTTAAAAAGTTCAGGAACTACAATTTTCTTTTGGACCTTAAGTGACCCACATTTTTGATAATGCAACTGTAATTAATGAATTGCAATAGATGCACAACCCAACTGTAAAGCATACATTAACAATATATAAACAAATAATTGTGTGCAAAGGTGAACACACAATGAGTAAAACACTAGGCAGTGAATCAATATCTGTTATTACGCAACAGATGCCAGTCTATAAAAAACCACACAGGAAATTTACCCATAGATATGTGTTTGGTAATAATGTGTGCAGTATCCAAAAAAGAAACTCATCATTATAGACTGGGCTAAACCGCAAGACAAGGAAAATCTAAAGCTACAATTCACTCTCATTAGATCTGGTTCCTGTTTCAGACTCTACATGGAAAATCCCTTTTTTCTAAATGCAACTGAATTTAAAAAGAGATGGAAGCATTGTGAAGGTCACCTTTTGAAGAATTTTGAATGACATTTGCCAAATCCATTTGTGTTAGCTTGACAACCCATTCTCGGGAGTCTGAATTATTTCCAGAAATAATTTAGATTTCTTTGTCTCTATTGTCATCCCCATTACTACCTCAATTTTAATCTGGAGAGTGGGATTTAGTGATTAGACTGCTGGACGATGACTCTGGAAACCAGGGTTTTAATCCCCCACTTGGCCATGGAATCTCTGAGAAAGTCAGAGTTTCCATTGGGAAACTCTGAGAAAGTCACACATTTTTAGTTTCAGAGTTCAACGCTGGCAAAGCTCCCCCTAAACAAATCTTGCCAAGAAAAGCCCATGATAGTGTTTCCTTAGGATCAGCAGAGATGACTTGAAGGCACATATAAAACAATATTTATTTCATTTTCCTTCATTTTATCTTCAAAATAACTCCATGAGCTGACAGAATATGTCAAATATGAGCTTACAGAATATGTCAACCCTGGTGAAAGGCACATCATAGATTAGTACTAGAGTACTAGAGAAGCCCACAAAGACTTAAGTGGAAGGGGGATATTTCAAGAACATGGATAAGTGAAACATGGATTTTGAGTCTGTTCATACTTTAACTTGTGCCTACTCTTTCTTCTGTAAAAAATGAAATTCCAGTTTTTCTGCAGGTAAGTAATTCTTGATGACCACATTCACAGTTATTTCTATGACCTTATCACATTAGGAAATACCCACATTTTGGGTATTTTGATTGAGAATGATTTCAAACGAGTCCCATCACATGACATTTGCCCATCCTGTCAGTATTCCATCGGAATCCATCTTCAAAAAATCACAGAAACAGATTATTTGCAAACTGAATTGTTATCATGTTTTTTGAAATACTATGGATTCTTCCTTTGCTGAAGCACTGTTTTTGTGTGTGGTAGAAAAATCTGTATGAATCCCATCAGCAACAATACTTTTTAAAAGGTCATAGAGTGGTGCAGGGGTTTTTTTTTTATGTGTTGGGGAATCAGAGCTGTTAGGTCCAAAAATAACCCTTAGTTAGGGTGCTTCTACCAAAATATAGCAGAGTACCAGACCATGAGTCCACAACCAGCAAAAGGTTCCATGTGATGAGCAGAAATAGCCTTTATCCTTTTAGGATGGCCAACAATTGTGGAGTCCATCTTAGGTTTCAAAACCTTTTTTTCTGGAAAAAGGATAGAAAAGTCCTTTTTCCATAAAGAAGCTAACTAACCTATTTTAACTTTATCTTCTGACAGAAACAGAAGGTAAAAGGTTAGTGTTGATTTATTTTGTCTTTAAAAGGGCTAAAATGCATCCTCACAATGAGAATAGAAGCAAGGAAGAAGTAGGCCCGACTGCATGGCCTAACTCAGAGGAAAGACTATCCTAACAGGAGGTTCCTCACAGAATTCCATTTGCTACATGATCAAAAGGGGAGGAGACAGAGGAAAGCAGGAAAGCAGGAAACAAGACTCTCTAGGCATGTGGGGGAAGGAAGGGATTCCCTAAGCTTAGCTCTGTCTCTGGTAACTGGAAACTTCTCTTTGAGGACTGGAAACTTGAATCAACCAAAGACTTGAACAGTGCAGGGGTTAATCCAACAGAATGGATTGGGAGGAGCCAGCCTTTTATGATGTGATGAGTCAAAGCACAGTATTTTCAAATCATAAGGATCATAATAATCAGGTGTGATGAGGAGAGTATGCATCCTATTTCAATACAGTATGCATTCAGTCCTAAAAAATATGGGATGCATACTGATATAAACAGATTATATCCCAATGTGACAAGGTCTCTAGTTTGTCCTCACTTTCACTCCCTCTTTCCCCTTCTCTTTCTCTTTTTTTGGGAGAAACCTCAAAAATTCAGAGAATCTGTTAATAAGATACAGCTGTTAACCAAACATGTCTGGCATTGCCCTAAGACACCCACAGAGCAATTAATTAAGAAAAAACTTTATCTGTGCAGGCAGGGGTGGCTCGTCCATTACGCGAAGTAAGCGGTCGCAGAACACTTTTTTTTGCCAGGGGAACAGCGGCGCCTCTGTAAATGTCCCTCGACCGCCACTTGAGAAGTGCCCCCTCAGCTCACAACAGCCCTAGCAGTCCGGGGGGAGCCTCAGCTTTCTTGCCTCGCTGCTGGGCGATCCTCTTCCCAAAGGGGCCGGGCCCTTGAGCCTCGCCTAGCCCCTCTCGTTCCTGCTCCACCTGGCCACCGGGTGCGTGATCAGAGCCGGCGCTCAATCGTTCTCTGCGTTCAATCCCTTCCCCATGACCGGCTCCCTTTCCCGATCCCCCAGCACTCCACCCGCCTCCTCTCCTCTCCCCAATCCGCGGGTGGGCCAAGGGCGGAGCCGCCGCGCCTGGCCCGCTTCGGGTCCGGAGGCGTGTCTGAAGACCCCAGCTTGCGCACCAAAAGTCGCCTCTTCTCCTGACTTTCTCTTCAGCCATTGGGACCAAGAGAGAGAGAGAGAGAGCCCCTCCGGCTGGAGGTATCTCCCACCTCCGCTCCCTCCTTTGTTTTTGCGCCTACCTTCAGGAAAGGTGGGCATCTCCATCTCTCTCTCTCTCTCTTGGTCCCCATGGCTGAGGAGAAAGTCAGGAGAAGAGGTGACTTTTGGTGCACACGCCGGGGTCTTCAGGCACGCCTCCGGACCCAAAGCGGGCCAGGCAAGGGAGCAAGTGCGGCAAGTGTAGTTACTGGGATGTATAGTTCACCTACAATCAAAGAGCATTCTGAACTCCACCAATGATTGAATTGAACCAAATATGGCACACAGAACTCCCACGACGAACAGAAAATATATATCAGTGATTGGTTGGGGGGGGGGCAAAATACTGTTTGTTTACCATTGAAAATTACCTAGGGCTGCCCCTGTGTGCAGGGAAAGTCTTCACCTGTTCTATTTTGTTATGTCAGGAGCAGGAGATCATCTTTAGACAAGATCAGTGCTATTACTCCCGGAAGCAAAAATTCCCTCTGGATGAAGTTCTTATTATGCAATTGCCTTGCCTCATTTACAGAACTGCATAGGGGACCCAGAAATGACATTTTCAATATGTAAACCTTTCACAGCCTCATCTTTCTGTTTTCTTACCATGAAAATTCAGTTAAGAAGCAAATGGTGGAACATCTATCTGGTGAACTCAGAGCCTTCCAAATGAATGTATCCTAAGTTTCCTTGTGTTCAGTAGTCCTTAGACTTAACTGCTTTTGTAGTAGAAGCTGAAAGTATCACGTTGGGGAAAGAAGAAGACAAAAAAGTTACTGTTTGCTGTCATTTATGCCTGCAAATATTTTTTCTTTTTTTGAAGGGTGCTTTTCTACCTGTGGACTTCAAACAAAGGAATACTCAGTCTGGGATCATTTGCAAGAAGTTTCCATATGAAAATACTGAATTCCTTTACAGGCTGTATCTGAGTACGACATGCATGCAAAATTATTATTCTATTTAAAAATCCAAGAAAGGTGTGGGGGACAACCTAGCTAGTACATGTCACCAATGGTGTAGTGATAAATAGTAAAATACAGGTCGCTATGACAATTTCAGAGAGAATCCAAATGTTCAAGTTTTTTGTGAAGCCCTCTCCCCATACTTTGGAGTAGAAGAAGGACAGCTCACAACAACACATAATTGCTGGGAAAATCCATTTCCTCTCCATTTACTGGAGGATTCCAGTTAAGCTAAGTATACAAGGTGTGGCAGATCATATCATATCTGCTGCAATCAGAAAGTTCTTGTATCAACTCATCAAGCCATGACTTCATTACATATACCAGCAATCGTAGGACTTGCAGTCACACCAACAGATTTGTTAGGTTTTCTGAAAAGTTAAGACATTTCTGAAATATCACCAAACTAGAGATGGTTCCCTATGGAAAATTTCTACAGCTATCCCTATCCATTTGCTTGGGCCAGGGGCACAGAACCCTCATGAATGTGGGTAAACTTCACATAAAAATATTATTTTACCCGTCAACATCTCTCTAGGAATTTCTAAGCCCTTCAGTGTGACTCTACAGTCAACTTCCACCAGAGGTTAATAATGAAATCGCACTGGAGGATTTACAAATGCTTAGAGAAGTATTCTTTCTAGAAGTCTCCAGGTCCTCCAGCACAATTCTACAGAGTCACACATATTAAGCAAATCCATGAATAACCAAATCTGAAAAGGGACACTTGCAAATATGGAGGTATTTGTTTATTTATTTCCTATAGGCCATAAGGCCTACAGTGGTGTGGAAAAGGATGAGTTCTAATTGGCAATCAAATACTAGGAGAATCTTACAACATTTGCTAAATATTTGGGCACATCTTGGTACTGCTTTTCATGCACAAAAACGTCTGGACACTGCTTTGTTGTAGCTGGTGAACTTCTAGCTCTCATAAGGGTTTCCAAACAAAGCTGTTAACACAGGAGAGATTAACCATTCTTTGCAATCATTCATGGCAATTAGCATTCTTACAAGAATAAATGCATATCCATGCACACTATTTAGTGAGCTGGGAGAGAAAGGGTTTTAATATTCAGATACAATACTATTTGTGCCTGAATATTCTTTATTGCATAAAGAACAGATTAAAGCACCCTGGAATCCAGCTTTTGTAAAGAGTACAGTATTGCATACTTTAACATTTCCTTTCCCCCCAAAAAATTTCAACCACAATTGACACCATAAAATGACAGCCTGCCTCCTAGTGGCGTCTTAGGACATATTGTTCCATTTGAATTCACATTCCAAAAATCAAACCTTGGCATCTTCCACACCAAAAGAACATTTTATAAAACAAACTATTATATAATTCAGAAAAGGGTTTGGAAAAGTACAGACAGAAGAAAACAAAACCTTCTATTTCCCACTCCATACCCATGGTATTAAAAAAGATGACTCTTAGCCATCACAATGACACAAGGAAATGAGAAATAGAAGAAAATCTGGAAAAATGTCGAGTCATACTATGGAAAGTTTTAGGTCAACTCTCAAGAATTGTGAGCTACTGGCTGCACGTTGCAAAACATCTGAAGAAACTAACAAAATTGCAACAGCAATATAAAAGGTTTTTTTAAAATAATTTCACTGGCAAAAACACACCTTTTCCAATTTCATCACAATCCTGATACACTTCCAGAAACTATGAACAGACAGATACAAAAAGGTTCTTTTAGGTTGATAGTAGGAGCAAGTTGCAACTAAGGAACTTTTCCCCCAAGAAAAAGATACAGGAGCCCGAATCACTTTGGCATTTAGTTTCCTTATGTATCCACAAAAAATGAGGACAAATAATGTCCGGATAGAGATATATTCCCACTTCACTGTGGAATCAAAAGCATAGTAAAATGTCAAAATTTTAGCATGAAGAAGAATAGTGGGATATAACCTTTTCCATTTAATGAGTAAAGCACCATAAATTTTTTTTGAGTTAAACAAAAGGTATGTACTACTTTGCATGCACTACTATTCTGAGTAATATATCCTTCAGTAACAAGCTCAGTTGTAAATATGGAGGAAGGACAACCATATGTAAAAGAAGACAAAGCTCCTACACAGTTAGCTCTCCATATCCACAGATTTTGCATCCATAGATTCCACCATCCATGACTTGAAAACATCTGAAAAGAAAGCACAATTTGTCTATCTTATATAAGGAACACAATTTTACTTTTAAAAGACATAATAGATTGATGATAGATAGATAGATAGATAGATAGATAGATAGATAGATAGATAGAGATAGATAGATGATAGATAGATAGATAGATAGATAGATAGATAGATAGATAGATAGATAGATAGATAGATAGATAGATGATAGGGTCTATCAATTTTGGTATCCAATTTTGGGTCCTGGAACCAAACCCCAGTGAAGTCATTATAAATTTTTGTTAGTCTCATTAGCGGAAGTAATTTTGGAACCTCTGGCAATTATCTTTAAGAGTTCTTGGAGAACATGAGAAGTCCCAGCAGATTGAAGGTGGAAAAATGTTGTCCCTATCTTCAAGAAGGGAAAAAAGGACAACCCAAACAATTACCGTCCGGTCAGCCTCAGGCAAGATTCTGGAAAATATCATTAAGGAAATCATCTGCAAATACCTAGAAACAAAAAGCTGTTTAGCAGTGGAACTCTCTACCCCGAAGTGTGGTGGAGGCTCCTTCTATGGAAGCTTTTAAACAGAGGCTGGATGGTCATCTGTTGAAGCAAGAAGCAGGACAATCACATGCTTTGAATGTGATTGTCCTGCTTCTTGGCAGGGGATTGGACTGGATGGCCCATGAAGTCTCTACCAATGATTCTATGAAAGGCTGCCATCGCTAATAGTCAACATGGATTTATCAAAAACAAGTCATGTGACTATCTGATCTCTTTTTTCGATAGAGTTACAAGCTGGGTAGATGTGGGGAAAAGATAGTTAAGTGAAGTAATTATGAATATCTGGTATCTATCAGGATATCCATACCAGCTTAGAATGGATATGTCCACCCCGTGACATGGATGTTGAGAGGGGGAGATGGGAAGAAGGATGGGAGCACATAAGAGATAAGCACCATCTAGACTGGGGAGAAACAAAACTGTAGTATAGCAATGGTCGGAATGGAATGTAGCCAGTAGAGGGGGATGGGACAATAGAATGATATGCACAAAAAAACCTACAACAACCCAATGTTATTATTATTATTATTGTTATTGTTATTATTATTATTACCAAGCAGAGTTGGGTGGCCACCTGTTGGAAGGGCTTGCATTGTGTCTTACTGCCTGGCAGGAGTGAGTGGGATCAGAATGGATGGCCATTGGAGTTCCTTCCAACTGTAGGGCGTTGTTGTTGTTGTTGTTGTTGTTGTTGTGATTAAGCAGAGTTGTATGACCACCTGTCAGGAGGGCTTGCATTGTGTCTTCCTGCCTGGCAGGAATGGGGTTGGACTGGATAGCCATTGGGGTCCCTTTCAACTCTAGGGTTCTGTTATTATTATTGTTGTTATTGTCATTGTTAAGCAGAGCAGGTTGGCCACCTGTCGGGAGGGCTTGTTTCTGTCTGGCAGAATTAGAGTTATACTGGGTGGCCATTGGAGTCACTTCCATCTCTAGGTTTCTATTACTGTTGTTGTTGAGGAAAGGATGTTGGACCCGGCCCTCTAGGTAAGGTAGAACTCACTCTAGGTAAGGTAGAACTTTATAGAACTTTATTACACTCCATGGACCCACAATTGTTAAATAAATAATAAACATACAGGAGTTTACAGGTCCCTCTAGTAAGGTAAAGGTTTTCTCCTGACATTAGTGTCTGACTCTGGGGGTTGGTGCTCATTTCCATTTGTATGCTGAAGAGTTGGCTACCGCTTTGATAGTCTTGGATTTGAAATCAAATCAGATGGCTTTAAAAAATTATTTGGTGTGTGTTGGAAGAGGGGGTAGTCTTATACGGTGAGTATATCCCAAACTCTATTTTTTAACTGGAAAAGTTGGGGGGTCGTCTTATATGCCCAGTTGTCTTATACACTGGAATATACGGTAAGTGTCTTTTAATAGAGAGAGAGAGGTGTTCTATTGGTAAAGACAAAAATCTTTACTTTCTCCAGAAGTGAAGAATTTGTAACAATCTCTAGGAATCTAATCCAAGAAGAAATTTGCACTTTCCACCAAGCAATTCTATGCCTTTCCAGTGGTTGATGATAGCCTCCATTTTTTGTGGTTTTTATCCAGAACTTTATGGAACTTTGTAAGGTATTGAACACCACCTCCAAAATAAGTTCAGTGCTTGGACACCTCCTTTAAAATTCAGGTTAAAACCTGGTACACATATACTACCCCAATGATATTGAAAGCATGATTGCTACTGTGTGTATTTACTTATAAGGAGGCTCCAACTGAATTTAGTGGATCTTACTTTCAGAAAAATAGGGTTAGGAAGGTTACATTTTGAAAGTAACTACAGCACAATGTTTATTTATTATCTATTATCCCTTCCTGTATTCAATGATTGCAGGATGGTTTGCAAAATAATCAATTTAAGCAAATCAACATTTAAAACAATAGAAGAAAATATGTACATGAGTATTTGTGCAAGTGTTTTAATGTGTTAGACAGTGTAATACAGGTTAAAGCACATATAAAAATTTAATAAAATCATAAACAGCCATGTTTTAACTTGCTACTGAAATGAAGCCAAGGCTTATCCACTTTGGCTTCTAGGGGAGGGAATTTGATAACCACAACAGCTAAGAAA